ATGGTCTACCTGAATCGCCAGATTCGAAAAACAGACCTTGAAATTCTATTACTGGAATGCCAGTTGAGGTGGGTGCATTGTCAAGGTGAAATAGGTGAAAATGTGAAATATGTTAATGATTGGAACTATATTACAAATCCTAACTGTTGCTTTTGTACTTTTAGGGAATAAAGAAGAACCAAATCACATGTGAATTTCTCTTTATTTGACTGTTTTAATCAAAAGTAATTTCTGCTAATTAGGTCCCTTACAGCCCTTCCATCCTGGACATCTGCAGGGTGGATGGGATGGTCATCCTCAGGGTCATTAATTTGTACGGCAGGGTGTTGCTCTCCTCTAATAGTTGCAATGTTATGGAGAACAACACATGCCACGATGATGTCACATGCCCTCTCTGGGGTGACCCTGAGCTTACGCAGGCACTGGAACCAGGATTTGAGTATGCCAATGGTCATCTCAACCCGGGCTGTAGTCCTGCAGTGGGCCACATTAAAACGTTGTTGGGGCCCCGGCTCAGGGTCAGGGTAAGGGGTCAACAGAGAGGACTGGCATAGATAGCCTCGATCCCCCAGTAGGTAGCCATCAAACTGTAATTATAGAGGACACATTTGAGTGCATTGAAAAGGGAGGCAAAGAACATTTGTACAAAGCTTTAGCTTCCTTACCACGTGCAAATCTGTTGCTCAGACTACACTCCCGGTAGATCCGGGAATCATGTACAGAGCCAGGCCACTTGGCTTCTACATTTGTAATAATGAAGGCTGCATCACATATGATCTTCACAGTGCAGAGAATGACATGAGTTAGTTGTATTGTAATGTATACATTTTCATGTACATATTTTTTAAGATGGTAGGTCATATACCTGGACATTGATGCTGTGAAAGGATTTTCTATTCACATAGTCCCCTTTGTTTTCTGCAGGTGCAGTAATAGGAATTTGTGTCCCATATGTTGAACTCCAACATCTCTCATGTGTTTTGGATCATTTTAAATTAAGTTTTTACACCTTTTAAGCACTTACTCTTTTTAACAAGCTCTTACCTTTGTGTGCTCCTGTTGTGTTTATATTCTTAAACACTTGCCCTTTGTTTTTTAACCTATTTTAACCCCACACATGCATCATTATATCAGTTTCTGCAATTCAACTCTTATAAGATGTTTTACCGCAGTTAAGACCATTTATAATTAAACCAACTTAATGATCCATTTATTTATTTATTGATGTATTTATCTCATAAATCTCAGCGGCAGTCACCAGGTTATTTCTCCAGAGACCCTGGGGGACGGAGCACTGTTAATATGTAAAGTTCCCGTTGCCCCACATGTGCAGTGGCTCAGTACCCTCAGATCTGATCCAATACTTTAAATCATTGTCATGTTCATGGGGCTCTTCCAACCCCTATCAGGACTCAGAGCGCTGCGTTTTAACCCCAACCTAAGCTTAAAGGGGAACACAGACTAAATTAAGAATTCCAATATGTCATTTCCATGGCCTTGGAAAGTTCAGTCAGTGTTTGTGAACATGAGCTACTCTCTCTCAAAGCCTGAAACCAGAGGAGTACATCTCAAACTTGTGATGTCATCAAGTATAAAGTCTGGAGCTGCTCCATAGACAATGACTGGGAGCCTGATTTGATTTGTTTCCTTTGTTTTAGACCCAAATGATCTTTATTCTGTTGTAGTGTTCTCAGATCTGGAACAGAAAATGTACCCACACAGGCCGAATCACCATGACATCGTGCAAACAGATCTCTGCAGTTGTAAACTATTTCCAGTTATTTACTCGGGAGTGATTGTTGTTGTGACATCATCATTTTCTACCTGGAAGTTATTGTAAACAAACACTGTGATTGGGTCTGTGCTCAGAACATTCCTCTGGGTGCTCTCACTCTCATCTATAACATCTTTCCAAATTCATGGTCTGTGAAGCAGCTCCAGACTTTATATTAGGGGTAGGGAAAAACTGATACAGCATAGTATCCATCTTTTATTATATGCGTCATTCATTTCTGCAAATACACATTTTAATACAACTTTTGGTGCTAAAATAATAAAGTCAGTTGCTTGTTCGCTCCACTAGATGGTGATGTTTTCCCGGTGAGATCAGCAGTGGTCTCAGTCAGCAGCATTTGGCAGGAAGTTCATCAGAAATAAGGAGCGTGGCGTCTGTGTTTAAATCAAACGTCTGGACATATTTTGGATTTTTTAACACAGAAGGACAGGAGAACTTGGATATGACACACGTGATTTACGAGCAGAGTCATATGAGAATAAAATACTGTGGGAATACTACAAACATGAGGGCTCACCTCACACTCCACCATCCAGAGATAGCGTTAGCCGCTGACGGCCAAGCTAACGCTAAACCTGCTCCGCCGAATAATCAACCAACACTGGACACACTTAGCTCGATGTAACTACCATCAACTGTGAGGGAGTTTGATGGTAGTTTTAATGCATTCTATTTATAGGCGCCTTTCAGAGAGCTCAAGGACACCTTACAAGACACAGTTAAAAACAACAAGAAGCAGCAATGTGTCCATAGATCATCAAATCAAACAATTCTGTAATACACAATAGAAGTTAATAAAATGACCAGACAAAAATGGTAATTATGAAAATGAGCTATAAACTCTTCATCATGAAGTCATCATCAGTGCAGGTCACCATATGTGTGTCTCCATTAAATTAGAGCCAATATGGCAGCTTGAAAAGGTGTGTTTACAGACGGGGTTTGAAAGTGGGAGGAGTCAAGATTGTGACTGTGGTGGGAATGTTTTATTATTGTTATTATTAGTATTAAAATAAATCTGTCATTACATTACATCAGGTGGAAGATTAACCTAAAAATTTTATTACACACAAAAATTCCATGTCTTTTCCAAAACTTTTAATGATTTTTACTAACACCATGACTTTTCAGGCCTGGAAAATGTGTTTGTGGAATTCCATGAGTTTTGGGCCTGGAAAATGTGTTTGTGGATATTTATGACTTTCCCAGGCCTGGAAAAATGTATTTGTGGAAGTTCATGACCTTTCCAGGACTGGAAAATGTGTTTGTGGAATTCAAAAGCTATTCCAGGCCTGGAAATTGTGTCTGTGGAATTCCATGACTTTTCCAGGGCGGGAAAAAGTGTTTGTGGAATTCCAAAGGTATTCCAGGCCTGGAAATTGTGTTTGTGGAATTCCAAAGGTATTCCAGGTCTGGAAAATGTGTTTGTGGAATTCCATGACCTTTCCAGTACTGGAAAAAGTGTTTGAGGAATTCCAAATATATTCCAGGCTTGGAAATTGTGTTTATGGAATTCCATGACTTTCCAAGGACTGGAAAAAGTATTTGTGGAATTCCATGACCTTTCCAGGACTGGAAAGAGTGTTTGTGGAATTCCAAAGGTATTCCAGCCTGGAACATGTGTTTGTGGAATTCCATGAGTTTTGGGACTGGAAAATGTGTTTGTGGATATTTATGACTTTCCCAGGCCTGGAAAAATGTATTTGTGGAAGTTCATGACCTTTCCAGGACTGGAAAATGTGTTTNCCCAGGCCTGGAAAAATGTATTTGTGGAAGTTCATGACCTTTCCAGGACTGGAAAATGTGTTTGTGGAATTCAAAAGCTATTCCAGGCCTGGAAAATATGTTTTGGAATTCCAAAGATATTCCATGCCTGGAAGAAGTGTTTGTGGAAATTTATGACTTTTCCAGGCCTGGAAAATGTGTTTGTGGAATGAAGCCAAACAATATGAAGTTCCTCCTTTTGGACTGAAACGTCAGTTAATGTTTAAGGGGCATAGAATTATCTCCATCTACTGGTGACTGAAAGTAACTACAACAGCAGTGTTTAAAACACACAATAACAAAGTCTACACACACACACACACACACACACACAGACACACACACACACACAGACAAAGACACACAAACTGATGCTGCTGCTTCAACGTCTCTGGATCATCAGGACACCGCTGATCCTCTCATAGCCTCCATCTGATGAGAGAAGAAGACAAGAGAAGTTATAAACCAGCTGTCAGTCAGTGATGCAGCACATCCAGTATAAAGACCAGTAGGGACTTCCTGTTCAGAGCAGAGTGGAGCGGCTGTGTAGCGTAGTCGGCTTCCTTCCAGCTCTCATGTTAACGTGTTGGAGTGAACACACTGAGCTGGAAGCTCACAGACCTGCAGAGACTTTGGGCATCAAGTCTGTTTACTCTGCAGATTTCACTCAAGTACACAGTGTAAATAAACTGCTGAGAGTCCTGAACGCATCATGGCTGCACAAACAGAGGGATTCACTTTAATGATGGATTTACTGAGTCTGTTAGAACAAATGACTGATGGACAGATATATCATGTTAAATGTTCTACATGTTCATCCAAAGACTGAACAGCAACACATCAGCTGTGATTACTGGACTTCAGCAGAGGTTCTGCTCTGTATAAAGAACACATGGTTACTAAATGTAATGATGGTTCTATAAAATAAGAGCCAGTGATTTGTAGGCTTCAGTCAGACTGATCTCAGAGCTGTGACAAAGATGAAGACAACAAACACTTTAAAGAGGACATATTATGCTCATTAACAGCTTCATATTTGGATTCTGGGTTTCTACTAGAACCTGTTTACATGCTTTAATGTTCAAACTAGAATTACCGCCTCATAGTTGTTTGCCTTATAAAGAAATCTTAGCTTCAGTAGAAAAAGCCGTTGAACACAGGGTATTCACAACAGTCTGAAGTCTGAGGTTTTTGTTCACAGGGATTACTTTTACATACATTTACCTCATTATCTGAAACTTTGGCCACATTTAATACCAACATCCTTCATTGTAACACTATAGGCTATATAAAACACACACACAGAAACAGGAAAGCATAACAGGTCCCCTGTTATCAAGGTCAGATTTGATGGTGTGACAGTTTGATGAAGGAGGACAGCTGTCTCTATACATGTTGTGATGCTGTCAGCTGTAATCCAGCTTCACTTCCTGTAGACATGAACACAACAACAGTCGTCTTCACATCAACTTAAACACATGATCTCAACAAGCTTCTCTCTGATCTGATTGGCTGACTGTTCTCTCTGTCTGTCTCTCTGTCCTCTCCTGAAGACTGTCACCATTCCCCTCTTTGAGCCACTGAGAAGGTCTGAGGTTTACAGGAAGTACTGGATCTTTGCTCTGATACTAACTGTGTTTAATATAATACTGCTGAAACCAGCATGGACCCACTCCAACCCTCTACTGACCTCAGAGTCTCCAGTTTACAGTGTGGACTCTCCTTCAGATCACACAGCAGCTTCACATCTGAATCCTGCAGCTTGTTGTAGCTCAGGTCCAGCTCTCTCAGATGGGAGGGGTTGGACTTCAGAGCTGAGGCCAGTGAAACACAGCTGATCTCTGACAAACTGCAGCTCCACAGTCTGAATGAAGAATAAATGATGTAGATAAAAATCATTAATAATACAATCAGATGTGTTCAGGTGTTAAATGTGTAGCTCAACATTACTATGTCCTGATCAATGAGCTTTGCCCTAAACTGAGTAGAGTGACTTTGTCATTGTGTTATTGTGCTGATCCCAACAGGATGCAGGTTAAAGACTGGAAAATACAAAAAGTGAAAAACAGCTCTCATAAATATCATTGACAACGTGCTGCTACTTCAATAAAGATGTAGTGACTTCACCTCTTAAACTCTGCCAGCTCCACCAGTGGCTCCATCATCACTAACTCATGTTGTGCAGCCAAACACAAATCACTTATTTAAAGAATCATGAGGGTAAATTTAAGTTGAAATCAAGTGTTTAAAGCAGGGCTGTTCAATTACAAATTCAACTGGGCCGGATTTTAAACCAGAAAATGTTGATGGGCCAGACATTTTCAGCAGCAGGCAACCTATTGGAAACTTTTTTGTTTTAGCTATTGGTGATGACACATTTCTAAACAGGTGCAAATTACTGTAGTAAAAGTAGCAATGTTTTTAGTGTCACATTAGAAATAAAAAAAGTAGTCACATATCTGACAGAGGAACATCACATAATGCAGAAACAGAATAAAGAAGAGCTGTCAATGCACAGAAGCATAACAAGTGACATTAACAGTAACTAATAACACACTCTATCTCTCTAACACACACACACACACACACACACACACACACACACTTCCTGACGTTTACCTTTAAGGTCAAGTGTTTATGAAAATACACAGGATATAGTTTTATACAGTCTATGGCAGCAACAGTCATGTTTACAACAACAAAGTCACTATATAAACTCAATAATATCTCACTGGAAACAAACCTAACATGTCAATAAAATAAATATTACTCCTGACATCACAACACTGAGTTACGTTATATAAGCATGAAGAACAGACATCAGTATCAGTCATTCATCCTGCTCTCTGTCCCACCTCTACTGAGGACACTCACTGTCCACAGGTAGGCTGTCTCAGCTACATTTTAAGATAAGTGACAAACTAAGTTAAACAGACTACATACAGACAGCTTTCATTTTAGTTTGCTTTAACTATTTGCTATTGGTCCCACTAGTGTGATGTGCTTGTGTAAAATGTGATTGTAAACCATAACGGCGGTGAATGAGGGACAGAGCAGATTGAAATATGTCTTTCTACATGCTGAACACGTGTATTGATAAAGCACTGGCTTTTTACTGCTCAAGGTTTTATTGAGTCTGCAGCATGATGATACATGAAACCAAAACTTTACAAAGTAACAATGAAAGAGACGATAACAGCGGAGCTTATTAGTACTACAGTCTTGATTCATTTTGCCCCGGGCTGTTTAATACAGAGTCTCCACACCAATCCCTACCCAGCCACTCTGAGGTTGCTTCTGGTCCTGATATAGCCTGCAGGCCGCCAACTGAATAGGCCTGCTTTAAAGGTTAGGAGTGAATTTTCAACTCAGTTTTTCTACTTCAATTAAAGTTATACTATGCAGGATTGTTGCTTACAGTTTGTAAACACACTTGCCAGTGAAAGTGAAAGTAAAAGCCAACCCCAGATTCATTCTTGTTTGGCATTTCTTCTCACTATATTTGTGTTTTCAGGTGTTGTATCTCTTTGATTCCTGCTGCTTACAGTCTGGCATCTGGTCCCCACCTTTTTATAAAGCCCTGAGCTCACCTAACACAGGCAGAGGGCAGAGTCTCTGCAGATAAATACACCAGCACACACTGAGAGTGGCTCATAAGCAAGGGCGGACTGGCCATCGGGAGTACCGGGAGATTTCCCAGTGGGCCGCTGGGTCAGTGTGGGCCGGTACAGCCGGAGGAAAAAAAAAAAACTTTAGGCGCAGTTGGGCTGGCCTTTAATATGATAACCAATGTTCACAGTTTCTCTAGTAGTGTTTGGCTCATCATCTTTGGCCCATGTGGGTGTGTCACACCCCTTTCACCTCGTCGTTGAGCTGTTGGCCAATCACAGCCGAGGGCTGAGGGCCACGGGCTGTCCCGTCCTCCTTCTGCATCAATCAATCAATCAATCAATTAATCAATCAATCAATCAATCAACCAATCAATCACGCAGAAGTCATGGTGAAGAAAAACATGGAGAAGAAGCACAAGGGAGGCGCAGAGAAGATTAGGGGAAAAAAGAGACAGGCATTGCTGCAAATGCTGCAAAATGTCAGAAACTGACAACCCTGTTTTCTGCTGCTGGACCATCCTCTGCAGCATCAGCAGCAGCACCTGTGGCGGCAGCTCTGGCGTGTGACCAGGTGGGAGATGCAACTCAGGTAAGGCGGCTGTAATGTGATCATTTTTTTGCTAGCTTGCTAACTTTTAGCACAGCACGTATAGTTTGCTTTTTGCTGTTAGAACGTCATTACTGTGTACAGACTAGAGCCAGACAGGGCTCAGTGGCATTAGTCAACATGGTTAAGTTGTTAATAAAGTAACATTAGTAACATCTGATCTATCATTATCTCTTGTGTATTCCCCTTAAAGCTGCTGAGGTAAATGCAGCTCTGCTGTCTTAATTACTTTGCTAATTCATCAACATTAAAATGTCATTTTTTCCTTTTTGTGTGGGCATTGTTGGACAATATATAGAAATTGAGACAGTCTAGTACATGCACTGCCAAGGGGAAAATGTAATGTATTGTTCTTAGTGTATTATTCGCAGTCAGATTATAAAACTTAAGCTGTACTTTTTCACTATTTAAGAGCATTTGATTGTGCTTATCTGAGGCACCATCTATAGGTTAATGTGTTCAACATTTTTCTATAGAACATAAATGAAATTTAAATATTCTGACAGTAATGTTCCTGCATATTTAAAATATTAAATATCAAACAACATGATGTAGCAAAATGTTCCTCAATACATGGAAGTGAATTTTGACATTTCAAGTACATTTACTATATGTTAACAGTTAGTAGGGCTACAGAATAATATGTTCACTCAAGCCTACATAAAATAAACTTAATGCTCACTCAGATTATGTGTTCTGTTAGTGTATACTTTTCAACATCTTCTCCTTTCACAACACTTGGAATGTTTTGGATGAATTAAAGCCTCTTTCTTTTAGAAGCATTCAGAAGAGACCATCACAGCCTTTTACTAACCTTTACTAAACCTGGTTTAGGGAGGGACCATTGTGTACTTGGGAATGATACACATATAGTACATTACATTACACAGTGCACTTTTTCACCTGTGTTTACTTATCAATCAAAACACTGTTTTTCCATTACCTATATTACTGTTTATTGTAATGCAGCTTTTTTCACCTCTTCTTTTGGGAATTCCCCAAAACTTCAACCTAATGTCTCTCTTCACATCTCCTGCCAGGTTGAGTCACCATCCCCACAGAAGGACTGTGGCAGGGAGGGAGAGGAGAGCAGCCTGGTCGTACTAGTCCAGGTAAAGCCATATCCATACATAGCATTTTTTAATTCATCTACAGTAATGAATTAAACATTCATTAAAAAGTTCTTAACACCATAATAGTGTACTACTATTAAATTCTACCATTTTAACATTTCACTGATAGTGTTGTTTAAGTGCTTTACTAACATAAACAATCTCTTATCTAGACTGAAGATGATCATGCATCCACTGCCAGCATCCCCGCCCCGATCCCTGGAGAGTGGACCGGTCAGGTACCAAATTCCCAGGCTGCTTTTTTGCCCCAGTCCGCCCCTGCTCATAAGTGATGATTGAGAGGGATTATTTCTGTATGAGTCTATACACTGTTTTTAAGGAAGATCCTGCAGAGTTTATCTTTAAGGTTTTAGCTCCACATTGCTCTGCCACAGTCAATGGATTAAACCACTGAACAAGACAAATAGACTTCATTGTGGATCAGTATAATATCAGCCTGATGTCTGCAGTTTAGTGTCAACACAACTTTCACATCATAATAATCTCAGCACAGGAGTAAAAAATGGTGTCTGACCTCAGAGTCTCCAGTTTACAGTGTGGACTCTCCAGAAAATCACACAGCTGCTTCACTCCTGAATCCTGCAGCTTGTTGTCACTCAGCTCCAGCTCTCTCAGATGGGAGGGGTTGGACTTCAGAGCTGAGGCCAGTGAAACACAGCTGATCTCTGACAAACTGCAGCACCTCAGTCTGAATGAATAATAAATGATGTAGATAAAAATCATTAATAATACAATCAGATATGTTCAGGTGTTAAATGTGTAGCTCAACATTACTATGTCCTGATCAATGAGCTTTGCCCTAAACTGAGTAGAGTGACTTTGTCATTGTGTTATTGTGCTGATCCCAACAGGATGCAGGTTAAAGACTGGAAAATACAAAAAGTGAAAAACAGCTCTCATAAATATCATTGACAACGTGCTGCTACTTCAATAAAGATGTAGTGACTTCACCTCTTAAACTCTGCCAGCTCCACCAGTGGCTCCATCATCACTAACTCATGTTGTGCAGCCAAACACAAATCGAGAGCAAGTCTACCGGAGTCAAATTACCTGTATGTACACACGTACTTGGCCAATAAAGCTGATTCTGATTCTGATAATTCGGACAAGTTCTGGCAATTTGGGAACCAATAAAATTTTTCCTCCGGAAACTATGACCTGCTTATTCCCAGAGGGAAGTAACTGATTGCTCCATCTGTTAATGTCATTGTCACATTTCTGTACAATCTCTTTCTTCAAAACTTATTAGCTTGTTCATTCTTAGTTGTAATAACCTGCAGAATTTGTTCTTTTGCTGTGTTTTTTTTGCATGGATATTCTTCTCTATACTTTTCTGTCTTGTCTGTGTTTTTGTCTCGGTGTTGTTTATGTTGGTTGGCTTTGTTTGTTCATAAAGGTGTGTGCTTTATTTGAAAAATCTAATGAAAAGAAATGAAAAAAAGGAAAATATGAAAGAGCTGTTAATGAAGGAGCTTATTGATCCTACGGTCTTGATTAATTTTGCCCCAGGCTGTTTAATACTGGGTCTCAGTATCAATCCCTACCTGGGCCACTCCTAGGGTTGCTTCTGGGCCAGATATATCCTGCAGGCCGCCAAGTGAGTAAGCCTGGTTTAAAGGTTTGGAGTGAATTTTCAAGTCATGTTTCCTACTTAAATTAAAGTTATACTATGCATGATTGTTGGTTACAGTTTGTAAACACACTTGCCAGTGAAAGTGAAAGTAAAAGCTAACCCCAGATTCATTCTTGTTTGGCATTTCGTCTCACTATATTGGCATTTTCCACTGTAGTATCGCTTTGATTCCTGCTGCTTACAGTCTGGAACCTGGTCACCACCTTTTTATAAAGCCCTGACCTCACCTGAGCGCTGTGGGGGTACACACCCAGAAACTTCCCAAACACAGAAAAAAAGAAGAAAGTAAGAAAACACAGACAGAGGGCAGAGTCTCTGCGGAATAATACCACACACTGAGAGTAGCTCACAAGTGATGATTGAGAGTGATTATTTCTGTATGAGTCTATACACTGTTTTGAAGGAAGATCCTGCAGCGTTTATCTTTAAGGTTTTAGCTCCACATTGCTCTGCCACAGTCAATGGATTAAACCACTGAACAAGACAAATAGACTTCATTGTGGATCAGTATAATATCATCCTGATGTCTGCAGTTTAGTGTCAACACAACTTTCATATCATAATAATCTCAGCACAGGAGTAAAAAATGGTGTCTGACCTCAGAGTCTCCAGTTTACAGTGTGGACTCTCCAGAAAATCACACAGCTGCTTCACTCCTGAATCCTGCAGGTTGTTGAAGCTCAGGTCCAGCTCTCTCAGATGGGAGGGGTTGGACTTCAGAGCTGAGGCCAGTGAAACACAGCTGATCTCTGACAAACTGCATTTCTCCACTCTGAATGAAGAATAAATGATGTAGATAAAAATCATTAATAAAACAATCAGATGTGTTCAGGTGTTAAATGTGTAGCTCAACATTACTATGTCCTGATCAATGAGCTTTGCCCTAAACTGAGCAGAGTGACTTTGTCATTGTGTTATTGTGCTGATCCCAACAGGATGCAGGTTAAAGACTGGAAAATACAAAAAGTGAAAAACAGCTCTCATAAATATCATTGACAACGTGCTGCTACTTCAATAAAGATGTAGTGACTTCACCTCTTAAACTCTGCCAGCTCCACCAGTGGCTCCATCATCACTAACTCATGTTGTGCAGCCAAACACAAATCACTTATTTAAAGAATCATGAGGGTAAATTTAAGTTGAAATCAAGTGTTTAAAGCAGGGCTGTTCAATTACAAATTCAACTGGGCCGGATTTTAAACCAGAAAATGTTGATGGGCCAGACATTTTCAGCAGCAGGCAACCTATTGGAAACTTTTTTGTTTTAGCTATTGGTGATGACACATTTCTAAACAGGTGCAAATTACTGTAGTAAAAGTAGCAATGTTTTTAGTGTCACATTAGAAATAAAAAAAGTAGTCACATATCTGACAGAGGAACATCACATAATGCAGAAACAGAATAAAGAAGAGCTGTCAATGCACAGAAGCATAACAAGTGACATTAACAGTAACTAATAACACACTCTATCTCTCTAACACACACACACACACACACACACACACACACTTCCTGACGTTTACCTTTAAGGTCAAGTGTTTATGAAAATACACAGGATATAGTTTTATACAGTCTATGGCAGCAACAGTCATGTTTACAACAACAAAGTCACTATATAAACTCAATAATATCTCACTGGAAACAAACCTAACATGTCAATAAAATAAATATTACTCCTGACATCACAACACTGAGTTACGTTATATAAGCATGAAGAACAGACATCAGTATCAGTCATTCATCCTGCTCTCTGTCCCACCTCTACTGAGGACACTCACTGTCCACAGGTAGGCTGTCTCAGCTACATTTTAAGATAAGTGACAAACTAAGTTAAACAGACTACATACAGACAGCTTTCATTTTAGTTTGCTTTAACTATTTGCTATTGGTCCCACTAGTGTGATGTGCTTGTGTAAAATGTGATTGTAAACCATAACGGCGGTGAATGAGGGACAGAGCAGATTGAAATATGTCTTTCTACATGCTGAACACGTGTATTGATAAAGCACTGGCTTTTTACTGCTCAAGGTTTTATTGAGTCTGCAGCATGATGATACATGAAACCAAAACTTTACAAAGTAACAATGAAAGAGACGATAACAGCGGAGCTTATTAGTACTACAGTCTTGATTCATTTTGCCCCGGGCTGTTTAATACAGAGTCTCCACACCAATCCCTACCCAGCCACTCTGAGGTTGCTTCTGGTCCTGATATAGCCTGCAGGCCGCCAACTGAATAGGCCTGCTTTAAAGGTTAGGAGTGAATTTTCAACTCAGTTTTTCTACTTCAATTAAAGTTATACTATGCAGGATTGTTGCTTACAGTTTGTAAACACACTTGCCAGTGAAAGTGAAAGTAAAAGCCAACCCCAGATTCATTCTTGTTTGGCATTTCTTCTCACTATATTTGTGTTTTCAGGTGTTGTATCTCTTTGATTCCTGCTGCTTACAGTCTGGCATCTGGTCCCCACCTTTTTATAAAGCCCTGAGCTCACCTAACACAGGCAGAGGGCAGAGTCTCTGCAGATAAATACACCAGCACACACTGAGAGTGGCTCATAAGCAAGGGCGGACTGGCCATCGGGAGTACCGGGAGATTTCCCAGTGGGCCGCTGGGTCAGTGTGGGCCGGTACAGCCGGAGGAAAAAAAAAAAACTTTAGGCGCAGTTGGGCTGGCCTTTAATATGATAACCAATGTTCACAGTTTCTCTAGTAGTGTTTGGCTCATCATCTTTGGCCCATGTGGGTGTGTCACACCCCTTTCACCTCGTCGTTGAGCTGTTGGCCAATCACAGCCGAGGGCTGAGGGCCACGGGCTGTCCCGTCCTCCTTCTGCATCAATCAATCAATCAATCAATTAATCAATCAATCAATCAATCAACCAATCAATCACGCAGAAGTCATGGTGAAGAAAAACATGGAGAAGAAGCACAAGGGAGGCGCAGAGAAGATTAGGGGAAAAAAGAGACAGGCATTGCTGCAAATGCTGCAAAATGTCAGAAACTGACAACCCTGTTTTCTGCTGCTGGACCATCCTCTGCAGCATCAGCAGCAGCACCTGTGGCGGCAGCTCTGGCGTGTGACCAGGTGGGAGATGCAACTCAGGTAAGGCGGCTGTAATGTGATCATTTTTTTGCTAGCTTGCTAACTTTTAGCACAGCACGTATAGTTTGCTTTTTGCTGTTAGAACGTCATTACTGTGTACAGACTAGAGCCAGACAGGGCTCAGTGGCATTAGTCAACATGGTTAAGTTGTTAATAAAGTAACATTAGTAACATCTGATCTATCATTATCTCTTGTGTATTCCCCTTAAAGCTGCTGAGGTAAATGCAGCTCTGCTGTCTTAATTACTTTGCTAATTCATCAACATTAAAATGTCATTTTTTCCTTTTTGTGTGGGCATTGTTGGACAATATATAGAAATTGAGACAGTCTAGTACATGCACTGCCAAGGGGAAAATGTAATGTATTGTTCTTAGTGTATTATTCGCAGTCAGATTATAAAACTTAAGCTGTACTTTTTCACTATTTAAGAGCATTTGATTGTGCTTATCTGAGGCACCATCTATAGGTTAATGTGTTCAACATTTTTCTATAGAACATAAATGAAATTTAAATATTCTGACAGTAATGTTCCTGCATATTTAAAATATTAAATATCAAACAACATGATGTAGCAAAATGTTCCTCAATACATGGAAGTGAATTTTGACATTTCAAGTACATTTACTATATGTTAACAGTTAGTAGGGCTACAGAATAATATGTTCACTCAAGCCTACATAAAATAAACTTAATGCTCACTCAGATTATGTGTTCTGTTAGTGTATACTTTTCAACATCTTCTCCTTTCACAACACTTGGAATGTTTTGGATGAATTAAAGCCTCTTTCTTTTAGAAGCATTCAGAAGAGACCATCACAGCCTTTTACTAACCTTTACTAAACCTGGTTTAGGGAGGGACCATTGTGTACTTGGGAATGATACACATATAGTACATTACATTACACAGTGCACTTTTTCACCTGTGTTTACTTATCAATCAAAACACTGTTTTTCCATTACCTATATTACTGTTTATTGTAATGCAGCTTTTTTCACCTCTTCTTTTGGGAATTCCCCAAAACTTCAACCTAATGTCTCTCTTCACATCTCCTGCCAGGTTGAGTCACCATCCCCACAGAAGGACTGTGGCAGGGAGGGAGAGGAGAGCAGCCTGGTCGTACTAGTCCAGGTAAAGCCATATCCATACATAGCATTTTTTAATTCATCTACAGTAATGAATTAAACATTCATTAAAAAGTTCTTAACACCATAATAGTGTACTACTATTAAATTCTACCATTTTAACATTTCACTGATAGTGTTGTTTAAGTGCTTTACTAACATAAACAATCTCTTATCTAGACTGAAGATGATCATGCATCCACTGCCAGCATCCCCGCCCCGATCCCTGGAGAGTGGACCGGTCAGGTACCAAATTCCCAGGCTGCTTTTTTGCCCCAGTCCGCCCCTGCTCATAAGTGATGATTGAGAGGGATTATTTCTGTATGAGTCTATACACTGTTTTTAAGGAAGATCCTGCAGAGTTTATCTTTAAGGTTTTAGCTCCACATTGCTCTGCCACAGTCAATGGATTAAACCACTGAACAAGACAAATAGACTTCATTGTGGATCAGTATAATATCAGCCTGATGTCTGCAGTTTAGTGTCAACACAACTTTCACATCATAATAATCTCAGCACAGGAGTAAAAAATGGTGTCTGACCTCAGAGTCTCCAGTTTACAGTGTGGACTCTCCAGAAAATCACACAGCTGCTTCACTCCTGAATCCTGCAGCTTGTTGTCACTCAGCTCCAGCTCTCTCAGATGGGAGGGGTTGGACTTCAGAGCTGAGGCCAGTGAAACACAGCTGATCTCTGACAAACTGCAGCACCTCAGTCTGAATGAATAATAAATGATGTAGATAAAAATCATTAATAATACAATCAGATATGTTCAGGTGTTAAATGTGTAGCTCAACATTACTATGTCCTGATCAATGAGCTTTGCCCTAAACTGAGTAGAGTGACTTTGTCATTGTGTTATTGTGCTGATCCCAACAGGATGCAGGTTAAAGACTGGAAAATACAAAAAGTGAAAAACAGCTCTCATAAATATCATTGACAACGTGCTGCTACTTCAATAAAGATGTAGTGACTTCACCTCTTAAACTCTGCCAGCTCCACCAGTGGCTCCATCATCACTAACTCATGTTGTGCAGCCAAACACAAATCACTTATTTAAAGAATCATGAGGGTAAATTTAAGTTGAAATCAAGTGTTTAAAGCAGGGCTGTTCAATTACAAATTCAACTGGGCCGGATTTTAAACCAGAAAATGTTGATGGGCCAGACATTTTCAGCAGCAGGCAACCTATTGGAAACTTTTTTGTTTTAGCTATTGGTGATGACACATTTCTAAACAGGTGCAAATTACTGTAGTAAAAGTAGCAATGTTTTTAGTGTCACATTTGAAATAATAAAAAACTAGTCACATATCTGACAGAGGAACATCACATAATGCAGAAACAGAATAAAGAAGAGCTGTCAATGCACAGAAGCATAACAAGTGACATTCACAGTAACTAATAACACACTCTATCTCTCTAACACACACACACACACACATACACACACACTTCCTGACGTTTACCTTTAAGGTCAAGTGTTTATGAAAATACACAGGATATAGTTTTATACAGTCTATGGCAGCAACAGTCATGTTTACAACAACAAAGTCACTATATAAACTCAATAATATCTCACTGGAAACAAACCTAACATGTCAATAAAATAAATATTACTCCTGACATCACAACACTGAATTAAGATATATAAGCATGAAGAACAGACATCAGTATCAATCATTCATCCTGCTCTCTGTCCCACCTCTACTGAGGACACTCACTGTCCACAGGTAGGCTGTCTCAGGTACATTTTAAGATAAGTGACAAACTAAGTTAAACAGACTACATACAGTCAGCTTTCATTTTAGTTCCTCATCGTTCCTCTGAAGGATCAATGTCAGGAAAATGAACATCCTTCCCTGATTAAACTACTGATTCCAAAATCTTCCATGTTATCTGACGCCGGCGTTTTTCAAGTCACTGAATTCTGATATTTCTCATTATGTTTGGAACAACAAACACCAAAGGTTTAAAGGGACAGTGCACCCAAAAATGAAAATTCAGCCATTATCTACTCACCCATATGCCGAGGGAGGCTCTGGTGAAGTTTTAGGCCCAATCCCAATCCCAATTCCTATTTTAACCCTCAATCTCAAAAATCCGTGCTCCCGCAAAGTGCTAGTGCTGTCCCGATTCTCAGTGTGTTGAGTTAAGGGTGAAGATTAAGGGCTGTATGTCCCTTACTTTTGAGATTTTCCAGCACCACACTTGGCGGTGAGTGCTATCCATCAATCCCTTGCGCATCATCGGCCGAGCCCAGCCGAAATCAGCCGAGTCTGTACGATTCATTCAAAGCAAGATGGCAGCGGAAAGCTGTAAAAAGAAGTTATAACTGTGAGTATTTTCCTTGCAAATACGAGTTTAAAAATTATGATAAGCATTGTAATAGCTTTGTTCGATGTCATTTTATGGATTTTAGACCTCTATGTAGCGTAAACACAAACACATTTTTTTTCTAACGATCGAAAGTCAGTAACGTTAGCCGTCGCGGTGCACACAAGCCATAACGTTAGCTGTCGTTCAGTTAACGTTACGAAATATCATTTTTCTCAGCTGCAGACGGCATGATTCGTATTGTTCGTCTGTAACCTTCTTCTTCTATGACTACTGATGTACCTTCTTCTTCTTCTTCTTCTTCTTTTGAATTGACAGACTGGACGGAGATTTGGCATATTGCTGCCCCCCACAGTCTGAAGACGTATCTGCCTTTAAGGGGTGTCCCATTTCTAAGTCTCAAGATAGCCCTAACACTTGGTTTTTAAAGGCTAGTGAGATTGAGGGTTGAGCTTGAAAATTAAGATTGAGGTTTAAGATGGGAATTGGGATTGGGCCTTAGAGTCCTCACATGTCTTGCGGAGATGGGGCTAGCAAAAAAAATTCACCTAATGGAGGCTTACGGCGCCCCAGAATCAAACATCCAAAAACACGTAATTGAAACCACAAAATATCTCCACACTGCTCGTCCGTAGTGATCCAAGTGTCCTGAAGCCCCGACATAAAAAGTTGTTTGGAAAACCGTCATTTGAACTCTGTTTTTAGCCTCATTGTAGCCTGTAGCTCTAACTGCCTCTCTGTAGACCGCGCTCATGTGTGTGCGCTTGCGCGAGACCGTAAGACATGGACACCACCTTCATGTGTGTTCACGTGCTTTTGCTGGTCTCGCGTGCACACGTGAGCTTGGTGTACACAGAAGCAGTTAGAGCTACAGGCTACAATGAGGCTAAAAACAGAGTTTAAATGACGTTTTTCCAAACAACTTTTTATGTCGGGGCTTCAGGACACTTGGATCACTACGCACGAGCAATGTGGAGATATTTTGTGGTTTCAATTATGTGTTTTTTGGACGTTTTAATCTGGGGCGCCCAGCCTCCATTAGGTGGAGTTTTGCTGCTAGCCCCATCTCCGCAAGGGACGTGAGGACTGTAAAACTTCACCTGAGCCTCCCTCAGCATATGGGTGAGTAGATAATGGCTGAATTTTCATTTTTGGGTGCACTATCCTTTTGAGTTCCCCAAACTTACTAAACCGAAGGAATTATGAGGTTTTCTCTCCCTAACTTACAATTATACTATTGGTCAGCTCAGCTCAAAATGATGTCAGACTGGTTTACGTATAGGCAAGAAGCTTTATGGCTTAGTCTTGAGTCTCTAGCATGTTATCCCAGAAGACTTAAATCCCTACCTTTTATCAATAATATAGACCAAATAAATTCTCTTGATCACAACATAATCATTTACAACACATTATTGGTGTGGAAGGATGTGAGAAAACACTTAGATATCCGTCTGTCATTTCTGTTGAGTCTCCCCTAACGTTTAACCCTGATGTCCTGGTGCAGATCAGGAGTATTGGTTTGACGGGGTGGTCGTCCAATGGCTGACTCAATTTTGTGGGCCTGCTGATCACCGAGCACTTTCTCTCTCTCTCTCTCTCTCTCTCTCTCTCTCTCTCTCTCTCTCTCTCTCTCTCTCTCCTTTTCTCTCACTGGGCTGGTATTTCTTGGACATCTGTTCTTGGCAAACACAGCAGCAGCACTAGTGCTGCACCCGCTCCCTGGAGGACAAGGAGGGATGTAGGCATGGTGGTTGGAGGGAGGGACGGAGGGAGAACAGAAAACAAGAGAGTGAAAAGGATAGAGGAAGAGGGGGAGAAAAAAAGCTCCACCACACACAGAACCCCACAGCAGTGAAAACAGTAAAAGACAGCAATATGGAAGTGGTGAGGCAGGTTTTGAGTAAGTCTGTGAGCGGTAATTGGGAGAAGGGGGACCACCACCAGGGACCAGCCCTCTGGGTCACACAACAGCACTGGGCAGGCTGTCAGGGCCCAGCACAGGAGTTACAGGGATTGGGATGATTGAGATTAGTGCAGTTTTCCAGAGAAAATGTTTCTGGTGGAAGGGTGGAGAGGAAATGAACATTTAAAACATTTGACACCAAACTAAAACCAGCATGGTACGACACACTGTGCTCATAACACCGCTGTGTTTCTCGCAAAGTTTTTTATGTTTGTCTAAATACTATAAAAAGTATAAAGATACTTTCGGGTGATTGTACTTGTAAGAGTTTACCAAGATTTAATAAACTGTTTTCTGTTTGGTCTTCAAGACCAGTTGCCCATTGTTTTTCCTATCTCACATTTCTCACACATTTCTTTGATTGAACAAAAATAATTTTCTTGACACCTACTTTAGAAACAATCTGAAGCTCAGTTAAACAGTCAACATTCAAGAATGTTGAACTCTGGAAAGTACAAAGTAACATTTTTAAACAATTACAGATGGCAGCGTGGAGAGAGGACGAAAACTGGACTGAAAGGTTGTCGAATTGTCTGGACATATAATTGACAGGGAGATCAGCAAAGGGAGGGAGACCAAGTGAGCGGTATCTTGACAGGCTTCAGGTTAAAATGATTAATTACCTCCAAGGCTTCTGTGGGCCTGGCAACTTCCTCTGGTTGCTGCTGTGTTGTGTGCTGCAGGGGCCCGGGGCCCAGGGCCTAAGGTGATGCTGTCACAGTTGCTTCTTTTTCCAATCATAGTGCAAAATCTGTCTTTATTTGCTTTCTCTCCTCCCCCAACTCTCTCTTTCTTTTTCAGTTCCCAACTGGTGGGTCGTGGTCCAAAAGTGGGTTGCAGGTCCATTCTGAATGGACTGCAAGTGACTCTGAAACATGTCAAGTTTATAAAAAACACAATTACAGTAGTAACAGTGAATTTCTTGCACAGAGCTTTTATTTTAAGAGTGCTGTAGAGTGAGTGACAAACAGACAGCAACTTAACTAGCAAACTAGTTCAAGATGCTGAATGAATTTAACTGTGGGGACCTTGATCTAATGACTAAGCAAAAATCTGGACCCAAAGGCTGAACCACTTGGGAACCACTGCTCTATATGTAGCACACCGGAGAATAACTGTGGTGAATGAGTGTGTAGCAAATCTGAGAAAGTGAAAAAGAATATTATCTTTGAATGTAATCCAGATTCATGCTGAATGGACCAATGCTGACGTTCCTCTTTTCAAATTTCATTGGACCACACAAAGGTAACTGGGAACTTTCAGAAACTGAAACCTTTAAGAACCCATAGGTTCTGAAATTGGTTCTCATTTCTGTTTCCACTGTGTACTGTTCAATAACAACAATGTGAATAAAGCATCCAAATCCCTGGCTCTCAGACTAAATATCACCCACTGAAAAGAGCCAAAATTAGGTTCCA